TGAAACAGAATTAAACAGAACTTCAGGCCCAGGCCCAGTTCAGATCAGATCTAACTGCACAGTGCTTAAAAGAGACACAAAGCTTTGCAAGGTCCAGCGTACAATTTATAAAAATGTGAGTAGTGTGGAATCAAAATCACCTCAAGTAGACTTAAGGGGTCTATAAAATTTATATAACAGAGGTGGTCTTCCAATATCCAGAACCAAAGCAAATATATTACACATGAGAACATTTTCAAGTGGCCTGTTCAGAGAGCAGGCTGCCGAGCAGGGGGGATCTGCCACCAAGGTTTCCCTGTACAAAGATTAAACACGCAAAAAATTATATAACAAAGAGAAGAGAATAGCAGAGCATTTTAAAACAGGGCACAGCTAAGATGGGAGATACAGATCATATCAGATATGCAAACAACACTTATTTCTTCACTGTAATTTCAGTGACTGTGCTCAGTTAGACTGCTGGAAATGGTAAACAGAGAACAGTGCCGATAATTAGTGCCTTAATTAGAAAGAAGCTTCAAACAAGTAGTCTCAGCCACATTGATGATTTTAGCAAAATTAGGCTAAATTCTGTTTAAATGTGGAAAACTACACAAGAATCTACCAACAATTGTGAAATCGATACGTCAGCTAGAAGGGGCTGCCTGACACTAAGAATTAGAAAAGCAAGGCTTTTTCTCAGAGTATGGAGCTCACGTATGTAAGGTAGGAAAAATGACAAGGAATTCATAGAAGGAAGGTACTGCCAACTACATCAAATAGGGGTCAGGTACCCTCAAGGCATTAATAGTTCCCAAATAGTACTACTATTTAACATATCACTGGGAGTTGTGGATATGCCCATTAATCCACTGGAAGGACATTATCTCAAGTATTACCATCCACAATCTGAAGAGCAACTGTAAGACTGCAAAGAAACGAGAAAAGTATACTTTCATTAATTACCGTGCCCTCTCCCCAAGACAACGCTAAAATCATTGAATTAATAAAATGTACCCAGTCTGGTAAGAACATTCTATAATATGTTATATGCAAGCTGGCTTTAGCTCATTTTGTTAGTAGGATTAATTTTTAGAAATTTAAGACTTTCGCATTAATCCCAGATAATAGTGCAGTTTGGTAAACTAATCAGATTACAGTGAATGTCAGTGCCATTTGATTTTAAATAATGTGAAGCATATTACTGGAACTATCACCCTCTCGTTTTATGAAAGGATGATCTGGAAGAATGTCAGGCAGGGTTCACAGAGTCTCAACAGCTGCGGAGCTCTGCTTCAAGTCCTTTTTAAAATTATGGCTTTGTTTATTCTGCTTTATCTCTGACTGACATTTTCTGACAGCAAGTTAGGACAATAATTTTAAAAAGACATGGACTTTGTCACAACAATGGATGTTCAAATACTGTGTAAGAAACTGGTATACAAACTTACCTTCTACATATACACCACTAAATTACCACCTCCTACAGCCAGATATCTGATGTGCATTTACAATTAAAAATTGACTGCTCTAACTAGTCCTTCCCACTCATTTGATTCACGAGCTTCATTTTGCATCTCCCTCGTTCCCCTTACCTTTACTCCAATTGGTTCCAGCAGGGCTCAAGCCTATTTTATTTCTGGTTAATCAGATTAGGTAAAAAGCTGGGATTGTGATGTCAGTGCGTTAATAGAAGGAAGTAATGCTTCCTGCAGGAAAGATGGCAAATTTGACCTTTTAGAAGCAGGTCTTGATCTGCCTGCAAGATGAAAACAGAGCAAGCCAAACCGCAGTAAGAACGTCAACTCATTCCACGAGAGCAGCGTTCAAAGTGAGGTTATGGCTCATGGACTGCAGGTGAGAAAAAATAATACCCTCATGTTTGCTCTTTTGCTTGAAGGGAGCTTTGGGTGGGGGGAAGGAGGTCAGCTTCAGCAAAAATAGTAGAACATTAGAAATAGTAACTCATGAAAGGCCTCAGTTCTTACAGGAGAAAAACTGGATTTCAGAACAGAAGTATCTTAATAGACTCACTTTTTTACAAACTTGTGACATTATTTGTTTGACTTTAATATACCTGTATTCATATTCTTTCATTCTGTGCTGATGAAACAATACTTACTTATAAAATCTCTTTACTGTACAAAATTGCTGTAGTTCATTTTGTTGGGTTTTTCCCCCTTAAACTCAGAAACCTACAGTAATTGAACAACAGATGACACTGAAACTAAATTAAACAACTAATTTCTCAAGTTATAAACTCATGATTTAAAAATTTAATTACTTTGTATGATAGTTTAGCCGACTGCTTTATTATTATGGGCTGCTGCTGTATTATTTAGCATGTGCCACCATACAAATGGTTTTATGAGCCTATTGGGTGTATGCAGCAGGTTGCTATGGTGATGTGGTGCTCAAACTGATGCAATCCTTAAGGTTCTGTTCTTGAACCTTCCATCAGACCTTAAAAAAGCCTTCACACACAGCAGCAAACAAAGTATTAATGTAACAGATACTGTTTGCACAAAATACCCTCAAGAAGCGCAGTTGTTAACCAAATAAAAGGTACGAAGATGCACTGCTGGAGGAGCTCTAAACAGTGATGACTGTGCACACCTGTAAGCCTTAAGATTAGCTTTATTCCATGGGTACATTAACATGGACAAAGCCCCTCCCTCACTTGAGCTGAGCCAGTTGTGATGCCTCTCATCAAGTGCAGCAGAAGGCTGAACTTACTGTCAAGGAGGCTGATCTTTAACTTGCTGTGCAGATGAAAGCCCAATTTATAAATGCAAAAGCAAATGGTAAAGCTGAAGTCCATTAAACACTGCAGTCAGTATCATGATTGGGCAAAAGAAACTGTTCCAATCACAGGGAGCATTGTCATTGCATTTTAGCTGCAGTTATGCAGAATGCAAGAGAGATGGGGATATTGGGAAAAAAATAGAACAAACCAAAATCCAACAATAAAACAAACAGAACTTTTTAAACTGTTCATCATGTCAGTGACTACCCTTAAAGGTGCTTTTTTGAAACTCCAAATGAAAATCATGCTTCGGTGTTCCTGTCATCTCAAATAAACACTGTTATTGTACCGATGCTTCTAATGAATTCCTATTGTCATTGACTCTTGTTGACAGAACCCCATACCCTGCCTGTGTATTCACCACTGGCAACCTCACACAGGCAGAAATTCCCCCTTTTCAAGCTGTCCAGCTGGGCTAATCCAACACTCAAACAATGAGCAGCTCTGCACTGCACTGAAGCTGCTGTGCATGCCATTGTCTAGGCTGACCCACGGTCATACCAGTGTCACTGCCAGAGCCTCTCCCAAGATCAATAAGGCACGAATAAACCTAATTTAAAAACAGTCCTTCACCTAAGCTTTTACTTTGCTGACTTTAGCCACGAAGAAAATAGTGGCTAAACCAGGCAAAATAGTACTGCTGCCACTCAACCAGGGCTCAGCTGTGAGGTTATTCTGTGTGTGTATCTTGGACCATTAGGGCCTATCAATTCTGAGTATTTGCAGAATACAGTTAGTCCAGCCAGGGTGAGATTCTTTATGCATTGCCTTGTAATACAATAATCTGTTCTCTGAAATCTTTAACACCTGTCTCAAGCTTTATCTTTAAACGCAGTAAGCTATTCATGGCCAACTTAAAATAAATGGCAGTAATTGCTTATCTCATTTTTGGCTGCTGTGAGTTTTGCAAGTAATAACCTCCTACTGTTCCCTACAGTTCATTTTTCTTTTCTTCCTAAGTACTCATCTCTGCTATGCCAAAAAAAGGAGAATTAAAAACAATTCATCTTTCTAAAGAGTTTGCAGGTGTTAACTTGTTATCAATACTTTATGCTATCACTGCCTGGTCCACAGCTCTGTGCTATTAGCAAAGCATTGTACTGAGTTCTGTGGAATGTGATTGGTGTGTACATAACCTATTTTGCACTAGTGAAACTTTGAGCCAGCTTTGAATGTTTCTTTCAGTCAGTTCTGTATTTTTAACAATAGCAGGGCAATATTAGATGTGACAAAATCTCACTAATTTGATTTTTTCTGGACTTATTTCTCAAACGTATTAGCCCTCATTTTCACAATTCCTTCTACCTCATTATATATTTTTTTCTTGCCTGCTTCTGTACCACCACATTATAAATGAACAAAGCATCCACTAAGGTCTTGAATCCAAAGACAGATCTGTTTGGGGCCAGAAAAGAAGCCCAAAATGGAGAATGTGTAGCCTCTAGGAGGACACCTCTGGGTGCAACAGCCTGGTGGAATGAGTATGTTGAATAAAGAACTGTAATTCTAAATCTTGGTGTCAAAAGGATTAAAGCCCTAATGGGTGGGTAGCAGCCATGGCCTGTCCCCAGCCATGCTGAGGATCTCTGCTCACAGGGCAAACAGCACAAACAGGTCCCTGCTTCCCACCTATGGGCTCCCTCTGCAGCTTCTCCTCTTCCCACTGCCATCTCAAACCTTCTCCTTTGGGGTGAGTCATCTCCCCTGTCCTCTGGTGGTTGGTATGTCAAACGTTCAGCTGTGAATTCACTCTTAGGAGGCAGAATTTTCTCTTTTACACAATGGAAAATGATAGTCGAGGTAGTGCATCACCCCAAAGTAACCTGCTGCCCTATAATACCAATCTACTTGCCTTAAATTTTAATTTTTGCTTGTCTACCACACGATCAAGCTACTGTGCTCTGCAGAAGGGGAAATGGAATACAAGGGGGGGTTGCTATTGTTTTGGCTGGGGTTTTTTAATGGGTTGATGATGGCCGAGAATTTCTCCTACAATGACTGGGGCAAAGTAGTTGTCTATCCAGTCACAACTCAGACAAGCACACTAGCTCCTAAGTTATCAAACTGTGAATTGTTCTATCAGAAAGATCAAAAACTCTCTGAAATTTTGACACATTATTGGGTGGGGGGAATTCTTTCTTTACGTTATCAGACTGGAAAGCTTTTTCCTATCTGACTCTGTTGCTACTCAGAGCTATTTACCTTTCACTTGCAGATAAGAGACGAACAAAGTGGCTACAACAAAAATCTATTTTGCATTCCTAAGCATTATGAAGAAGATTTAGAAAGAGTCTTCATTCCTCATGGACTCATTCTGGACAGGTATGAGAGGAAAGAGCAAAGTGAAGTCAATGATAATTTCCCTGTGCAGCCCATGAGAAACATGGAAACTCTGCAGCTCTAACACTTCTGTTCTAGAGTTTAATACAGGAGAGGGTTATGGAAAAGATTCCTCTACAACACCAGTTAAATTTCCATAGTACCTCAAATATCTCCAAACCCATCTATCCTGTAATGTTTAGATTTATGGATGAAACCATCAATATATCAAGTGGATTAGGCATCATCTTGTGCACTGCAAGTACATAACTTTCCTATTTCTTCCTGTGGTCACAACTTGCTAGTTATAAAAACCTAACAGCAAGATCAGAATTTTAACTTGGACACTGCTTAATACATGGACAAACAAGTGTGATATACAAAACACTTTACAGAGTGTGTTTTCTTTTTTTTTATCTCCCAGGACAGAACGCTTGGCTAGAGATATCATGCAAGACATGGGAAGTCATCACATTGTTGCACTCTGTGTCCTTAAAGGAGGCTATAAATTCTTTGCTGATTTGCTGGACCATATAAAAGCACTAAATCAAAATGGTGACAAATCTGTGCCTGTTACTGTGGATTTTGTTAGAATAAAAAGCTACTGTGTAAGCAATTTTCTTTTCTTTGGAAAATTGACTCTCTGCATAGATTGACATTCTAAATGCTGGTAGTTTACATGAAAACTCCACAAAAATTGAGTTTATGCACATATTCTGTTCAAAGCAATTCAACTGATTACACACTGAAAAGGAACTGATTTACTGAACTGCCCCAATGAACAGATGGATGTTATACATTCACTTCAACAAACATACAGCAAAATGAAGCAACATGACAAAGCCAGGGCAGGGATCCAACATCCTCCTCTTGCAAAAAGCAAGAGCAGCACACCATTCATACATACATACAGGATAACACTGTTTAGCATGTTTTATGTGACTTCCCTCTCTTCTTTCTCTTTCTAGAATGATTCACCTACAGGAAAAATCAGTTTTGTTGGCGAGGAACTGTCTACACTAAATGGGAAGGTACGAACTAGCATCTTTACCTTTTAAAGGGAAAGAACTGTTCTTGTTTATCTTTCAGGAAGTGCATCTTTATTAAGATTTTGGTACTACATACTTACAGCCACTTGACACTGATTTAAAATGCTGGACTTTGAAACAGTGAGTAATTCCCACTGACCTCAGTAGATCCACAATTTATCCCACAGCCCCTAGAAATGAACAATACCAAACTGACTCATCAGGATGGCTCTAGAATACTAGTGCTATACACAGAATAATAGATACAACTTGACTCACCGTGTTTTAAGTTTCCATAAATACTTACAGAAAGACTCTTCAGAAAGTACTAAAGTAATGTCAGTAGTTAAGCAACAAGCTCCTTTGAAAATCAATTGCAACTTCCTAATAACTAAAGTTTGTAGTGTGCTTTTCCTGGACGTATAATTTACTGAATGTTGCCATGTAAATATTTTCTTTTCTCTCTTTTCTCTCCCTACGTGATCTCTCCCAGAACGTGTTAGTAGTAGAGGTAAGTAAAGGTTGGAGGGGGTGGGGAATAACATGGATGTTTTTCTCCCCTTTCTGCAACTTAGTACATATTGCATATAAAACAATGTCACTGGGCTGCCAGGGGTTTATGCTCTAAATTAATCCACTGACAGTCTGGTTTTCCTTTCAGATTCAAAGGACAGTTTATTTCTTTAATCTCA